CTTCCATAAAACATATGCTGTTATTTCTGCCATGCAACAAATATGTATTCAACATTCAGAAATCAGCTATGGAACATTTGCTCTCTTCTATAGGGGAGCAGGAAAAAATTAACCCCCAGCAGCTGAGCAGAACACCTGGAGTCCAAGGTCCAGGGAACTGCCTGTGTCAGAGCTGGCCACCACAGTCTTTGAAACAAACTGAACAGTGTCCCCATTTCCTCCTTTCAATAACTCTCTCATCTGAAACACTTTGTCTCATTAATTCTAAGATTGTACTGACTCCTCCTTAACAAAGGCATTTGAATGTTTAAGCTGGGAAACAGCACTGTCAAATGAGCAACAGCAGTTCTGTTTAGATATCTTGCACCACTCCAAAACTGACTGCACAGCAGGACAGGCTTTCTATTACCCAGAAACTGGTGTGGTGCTGCAGTTACCTTTGGTAATTTTTGTTATAGAAAATACAGCAAGAACTGAACACAACTAACTGGAGTTTGCTTGCATTAACCATCATTTGCTGCCATCAACTGAGTCTCAGCTCAACTGGTTTTCAAACTGAGCTGCAGCTCTGGCTGTCAAACCAGAGGCACTCCTGGCTCTGGAGCACGTCTGTCCCAGGTTCATTCTCATCTGCTCCTACACACACTCGCAAACACAGGCCTCCAGGAGGAGAGCTGAGAACAAGTCTGCAGATGCAGGAGAGCTCAAACCCCTACTAGGCTTACGAGCGAGGTGAAGAAAGGGACAATACTCGATACCAATGCCATTCAAGGGTCACCTACTGGTATGTCTTTGCAGAATACTTGTTTTCCTTAAGGAGCACAACAGAATATGCATCTAGGGCAACACCTAAGTGATCCTGTGCCCGGTTTTGTCCTTATATGATGAAGATGGTCTTAAGACTGCAGTTCTACCAACAGTTAGTGCTCCATGCAAATATGTGATTTAGCTGAGCTGGGAGACAGCCCTGCACAATCAGGTTCTCAACAACTCAGCTGCTGTAGTTGACAGTTCACAATTGCAGCCATTCATTAGCGTTCCTGGAATACGGCTGGAACAGCTCAAGCCAGTCAGTTATCTCTGGAAAATGATCTATACTCTGCTCTTTTTCCAACAGCCCTAGTAATATTTTGCCCCAAAAATCTGCCAAACATGTAGGAGGTTTGAACAAGCTTTTTCAGTAACATTCTTTTAACAGAGGCAACATATTTCTTTTCCCCCAAGAGCCAAAATAAAGTTATTAAGCCAGCTGAAATATTCTGCTTGTCAGCTACAAATCTGTGTATACATGGGCAGAAAGGTGAGTAGAGAACCTGACACACACTGATCCCAAAATCCTCACAGGTGATCTAACTGCCCTCTCTCCAAAATCATTAGTCCAGCTGCTCAAGTCCAGCAAATGAAGAGTCGGGGCAATTTTGAGATCCAGTTCTACTTGTGTCTTTTCAGTATTTGTCAGGCTCCCGTTCAAAGTGGACTGCAATACCCACATCTGCCTCAGTAACAGTACTACTTCGCCCATCCTTGAATAGTGCTGCAGTTTATACCACTTGCATCCACATTTAGAGAGGAAAACTGTTATGTTGTAGATATTCCATAACGTCCCACACAACAAATTTCTCTTTTTAAGAGCTTAGCAATTTGGACACATCAACAGAAAAACCAGCTTTGCTTTTCAAGGAAGGTATGACATGCCAAAGGCTTTTTTCTCTTTTTTTTCATTCTTTTGGATTGCCTACCTACCTACCCCCTCTTCCCTTCCAGGTAAGATATCTTGATTAATTGATTCTTCATTATTCATCAGGTCAATGCAAAAAACCACAGTTTTGTCTAGACTGCTGTCAAAGCGTACTGGACTATGGGAACAGGAAATCAAAAAGTCTTCAGGCAATGGCTTGGAAGAAAGTCATTCTACATCTATAAACACACAGTTCTATCTATCTATTTATCTGGCTACGTATCCTTACACCTCCACTCCTAACTACCCTAGGTGTAGTTTGATTTAAAACAGCAAACCATAAGACGGGAATAATACAAAAGACCTTTTTCAGAAATATGTGAACCGACTAGCTTTTTACATCAGCCCTGTCTCATGCTCACTGTATTCCTGACATGCTGCTTTCAAAGAATTTCCATCTTAACTATGCTACCTTTAGAACAGTTCCTCCTCATATTCAGAATGGTGAAGGACTTTCTAGATAAATTCAGGATATTGAGAGCTATACGCTATTCCTTGATGAGTCACTGTGTTAGAAGATCACTACAGGAGCATGATCTATACAAGTTTGTCAAGCTGCAAGAACGTGCAAGTATTTAAATGTAATTGAAGGTGTCGGAAGAAATGCAGATACCTGCCTACACACTGACCCCCCTTCCTGGGGACACTGCACATTAATAGTAAGAGAAAAATGCTTTCTACAGATTTCTAGCTCCCATGACCACCAAGTAACCTCTCCAAACTAAGCCGAGCGTTAACTTCCTGGACCTGCCGGCACAAACCATGACTCATGATGTATCAGCTCCCTTTGCACCCTATTAGCCTTATCAGTGTCAACCCCCAGCCTATTAATGACATTTGAAGGTCTTCATTAACCATTTCACCACTGATTGCAGTAGAAAAAGTAGCTGGGCAAAGCCCATGGGAGCAGTGGTAAACCTTAAATAGCTGGAAAGAGGAAAAAAGCAGGAGCAAGAAGAGAACGGCAGACAAGCAGGAGACACTTTTACAGAAAAACCTTCTCACAGAGTAAAGTACACAAAAACCAAGCGATAAAACAGCCTTAACAAGCTGCTAGGCTTTTATTCTTACCTTTCTTTGTCTGAAACTAGTGGAAGTCAGGCTACTGGTTGAGGGGGGCAAAGAATAAACTTGGATCTACTGGCTCTGTAGAGATCTCCGACATTGTATGAGGTCTAGGCCTATTTAAGGTGAGCCTTCACAGCTTACCAGGGTCACTACTGAAGAAAGCCATTCCCATCTGGGAGAGACTCTCACAGCACAGGTGTGCTCCTGGCTTCCTGAGCACCCAGCACGCTGCACAGTTTTATCACCCAGTGCAGAAGGTGACAAACGAGACGTGTGTGCTCCTCCTCTGATAACCACAAGCTCATTTCCCTACTGAACACCACAGCCTGTCAAAAAGAGCAAGCTGCCTTCAGAGCCCATTTCCATTTCTTACTCGTGGTTCTCACGGTGAAGTGTCTGCAAGAGTCTCTTTAGAAATGAACAGCAAGTGAAGCACTGCTGCAAGCTGGCAAGTTCAAAGATTAAACTAGGAAAACAGCTTTAAAAATCACTGTTCTGGATAAGAGCACCAAGAACTGCTTCACTAGAGTGCAACACAAAGTTAGCAGCCCCCAGTTTGAGTAAGTAGGGCAAGTTTTTCCTCAGTGTTACATAAAAGCGATTCCCTTGTCACAGATAATCATGTTCGTTACTACAATTTATATTAAGTGTTAGAAGCTATGCAAAACAAACGCAAAATGCATTCCTTTCTTTCTGACTCCTTAATCAACAGAATGATTAAGCACCAGACGAATCATCTTCTGATAAAACACTGAGCTATGAAAAGAACCCACCAGCTCGAAATCTAACCTTATTTGCACAAGGCAGTTTGTCATCCGGGTCAGCAATCCTCTTAAGGTAGGCAAACTGTGAGGAAATTTTAACTGTTTCCCTTTTTCTTGTCAGTCCTTTACCGCTTTAATCAGAACAAGCACAGCTCTCCAAACCATGGCTTTTCCCTGCAGAAAGGCATCACCAGTTACTCTTAGACACAGCAGCAGCCAAAGCTCCAGTGAGCCCAGGCCTGCACTAAATCTGCAGCCTGAACTCACCAAACACTCACTTTGAGGTGCCCTCTCCATCCTCTGCACCCCAACCCCACAGACACAGCTGCTTTACTAAAACATGCTCCAAGCCACACTGACTGTGTTATCTGGAAAGTCTGGTGCTGTCCCCAGATGAGGAAAGGCTTACAGGGAAATTCACCACAAGACCTGCTCATAATGGCCTAACTCCCATCTTTAAAAATACAAACACAAATAACCCACATGTATTTCCTTCCTCCAAACTGCAGCAACCCCAACAGTAAATGTCAATGACATTCATTCAGTGCTCAAACACTGCTTTCCCTCAAAGTCTTCTCTCAAAGAAGTCAATTAAGCAACTTTGGCCACGACCCTTCAGAGCAGTCTGACACATCTATGGGAATAGCAGCCACACACTGGATCCCTCTCTCAGGCCTTCTGATGAGTCTGCCCACACCACACACCTCTGCTACAACTCACAGTTCCAAATTACTTTCCAATAAAGAAAACTCACTGTAAGGTTGTACTTCCCACCATGTCCACATCTTCGTCCAAGTGGTGTCTGTTTTCTCAATACAAAGGACCATTCTCTGTAGAGCTTTCACTGTGTAAGGATCTCCACACAAATCCATACCCAGAAGCAAGTATTTTCCTTACTGATACTATAAAAAGCCAACTCCACAGGAGGATAAAAATAAAGAATGTGTGTTAAAAGCCCCAAGCTTCCCAAGATGCCTCCCCTGATGGCCCTTGGGCAGCACCACACAGATTTAACAGCACTGCAGTACAGTGGTGTTGATAAACCCACTTTAACCCAGCTGTCATTGGAGTGTTTTATGATGCATCCAGGGGAAAGAACAGCCCTCCTCGTATCTCGAGTCACTGGCTGCAGAAAGACAGCTTTCAGTCTTTGATTCTGAACAGTTCATATTATTTGTGCATTAAGCAGCTTTCAGGCTACTTTCTGCCCCGTTTTGTGCAAAAAAAACCTCACACCCTAGGAAGAATAAGTACAAGAAGAATAAGTACACTACTTGACTAAATACTTCACTGTGGTTTGTGCTCTTAAAACTTCAGCGTGACTTTCTGAAAATATGAATTTACATAAAGCATTTGCTAATAACTCAAAAGTTGTTTCCTCCCCCCCAAAAGCCCAGTTATTTTTTAAAGTATTATAAAATAATGCATACCTGTCTTCATCACCATCAACAGGAATGGATATGCCAAACACAGAGCTAGCAAGACTGTTGATAGGAGTACTTGCAGGTAACTGAAGAGGATTTGCTAGAGTGTCTGGAATGGGAGGCTTCACAAGAGGTTTATTTTCAGCTATAAGAGAAAGGGGTGGCTGAGGTAGGGGTTCTGATTTTCTTCTAGTATCATCAATCTGGCCTACTACAGACTGGGCCTGGGTCTGAAACTGTCCAAGGTTTGCCTGAGGCAGACTGGCGGGTGCGCTGGGCGCGCCTTGCATCATCGAGTGTCCCACGTGCTGGGGCTGGACCGCGCCGGTGCTTCTGCTGGCAGAAGGGTGGCTCGTCAGCTGGGACTGCACCAGTGTAACAGGGACGTTTGGCATAGTGACAGAAGCAGTGGTGGACACACTAGGCACACTTGTACCGGGCACAACCGCAGGCACGCTCTGAACTCCAGGGACCACAGCATGGGGAGCACCAGGCATTCCTGACACTTGACTGCTTCCCCCCATTGGATGCTGAGTCACAGATTTCTGTTGCACAACCCCTGGTTGTCCAAGGCCCGGCTGTGGGACGGCAGGTTGACTAGCCTGTGCCTGGCCACTCTGCAGCAACCCCGACCCCTGGCCGACTGCTTCACCGGGCTGTGCTGACACCCCCATCACTGGTGCTCCCACAGGCGAGGGGTTTTGGCCCATCACCTGCCCCACAGGCAGGCTGGAGGCCACAGTACTTGGAGCAGAACCTGTAGTAGCCTGCTGAACAGCTCCTTGAGACTGCATAATTGTCACATGCTGCATGTATTCGGCCTGCCCAGGAGGCTGCGTCGGCAGTAGGTGCACTGGTGGAATCTGGGACTGAGAATAAGCAAATTGTTGAGGCTGAGTCACTGGTATGCTTGCCTGCTGCACCTGCTGCTGGGCCACAGGAACGCTCGGCTGCCCTACTGTCACATTTGGAGGTGCCATGCCTTTCCCGTTGGGTCCAGCCTGTGCAACACCCTGTGGATTTACCTGTGGCTGCGGTTGCTGTGGCACCATCATTTGCTGACTTGCTCCCGAAGCCCCAGAAAACGCAGGCTGAGCAGTACTCTGAGGCATGGCCCCACCTACGGGCTGTTGCGGCTGCTGTGGTTGCCCAATGACAAAACTAGGTTGCTGTAGAGAGGACTGGTTCATTTTCTCTGTCTGGAGCAGCTGTGACACAGCAGCCAGGGAACTGTCAGCTATAGAATCGGGGCCATGGGCTGATGCTGGCACAGCCGAGACCACAACAGAACCTCCTGTGGCACCGAGGCCACTGTCCCTCTCTTGAGCAGCCTGCTCAAAGGTGCTGCTGTGCCTAATGCAATCTCCGGTCCTGCCCAGAACACCACCATCGGAGTCCCGGTCATAGTACTCCATACACGTCCATCGGCCTCGCCTGTAGGGCTCCCCAGTACCGTGGTCCAGCTTGATCACCCTGAAGCGGGAGCTGCACGCAGCAGCCGCCGTCTGAGACATGGTGCCAGGGGCGGCGGGCGCAGAGGGCCCCGTGGAGGGCAGGACGGCCTGAGCACTGCTGCCTCCCCCCACGGCAGTGCCAGAGGCAGCAGCTGGCAGGGGCACGGCAGAGCTCTTGGGCACAGCCCCCCCGTTGGGGGCTACAGCCATCCCCGCAGCAGCCACAGCCAGCTGCCCGTCCAAAAGGAGATTGGGAGAGACGCTGCTGGGAGTTTCGGCCTCACCCACGTTGTTGAGTGTCTCTTCGGAGGAGCTCCGCTCACAAACGTCCTCAGGGCCGTAGTCGGTGGCTCGGGAAACATCAAAGATTTCAGAGGACACGTCCTCGGTGCGGGACTCGTCCGGGTCGTCCAGGCTCTCGGTGTCCTCGGTGATGCTGCTGGCCACCTGCGCCGTGGTCACGCTGGTGATCTGGAAGCAGCTCTTCTTCTTGGCCGGCATCTTGGACATGTTTCCTCCGCGGGGAGGGGCTCGGCGGCCGCGGCGAAGCGAGCGCAGCGCCGAGCGGGCTGTCACGGCGTGCGGGCCGGGCCCCCAGCGCTACCGCACATCCTCCGGCGGCTTCCTGCGGCGGGCGGGGGGCGGCGGGGCTCCTCCTCTTCCTCCCCGTCCGCAGCCCTCTTCCCGCGGCCGGGCCTCCTCCTCCTCCTCCTCTTCGCCGCCGCTCCGAGCGCCCCGCGGCTTCCTGCGGGCCCGCGGCCCGCCCCGCGCCAGGGGCCCCGCGCCGGCCGGGCGCGGCCCAGGCGGCCCCGTCCCCCCCCCCCCCCGCTGACTCCGCGCTCTACCTGGAGACCAGCGCCAGGCGCATCCTGCTCGCAACCGGCCCGCGGGCTCGCCCCACGGGCAAAGCCCCGCCGCCGGGCGGGGTGCCGGCGCCGCGGCGGCCCAGGCAGCGGCGCTGGGCGGGCGCGGGCGGCCCCGCTGCGCTGCGCCGGCCGCGGAGCTCCCGCAGCGCGCTCGGGCCGCGGCTCCGCTCGCCCAAGATGGGGCTCAACTTGTGCGCTGCACTCTGGGAGCGCCGCGGCCACGCCCCCGCCGCGCTGACGTCATGGCCCGGCGCAGCGCAGGGCAGCCCGGCGGGGGGGGGGGCGGGGCAGCGCGGCGTGCGGGGGGACGGTTGGGATGTGGCGCCCCGCGCCGAGCCCCCCCCGCCTTGGGGGATGGTCGCGCCCGGCCGAGCGCGGGCCCGGCCGGAGGAGAGTGCGTGGCCCCGTCGGCGCGCGGGCGAGCGCCCCCTGGCGGCGGGGCCGCGCTGGGCCCGCGGCAGCCGCTGGAGCGGAGCTAAAGCCGGGAAGAGCTCGGGAGCGCGGCAGCGCTGAGGGGGGCAGGACCTCCGCCACCATCCACTCCAACCTCTCACCGATCGCCAGCTTCTCACTAGGCCAGAGCACTGAGTGCCACGTACGGTCTTACCTTAAATACCTCCAGGGATGGGCACGCCCTCACCACCCTGGGCAGCCCCTTCATGTCTAATCACCCTTTCTGTGAAGAAATTGTTCCTAATGTCCACCCTAAGCCTCCACTGGTGCCGCATAAGACTATGTCCTGTCCCTTGTTCCCTGGGAGCAGAGCCCGACCCCCCCCGGCTCCCCCCTCCTGTCAGGGGGTTGCAGAGCCAGAAGGTCCCCCCTGAGCCTCCTTTGCTCCAGGCTGAGCCCCCCCAGCTCCCTCAGCTGCTCCTGCTGCTCCAGACCCTTCCCAGCTCCCTTCCCTTCCCTGCACACGCTCCAGCTGCTCAATGTCCTTCCTGAATTGAGGGGCCCGGAACCCGGCACCGCACCCGAGGAGGGGCCCCAGCAGTGCCAGCGCAGGGGACAGTCCCTGCCCCGGGCCTGCTGGACGCGCTGTTCCTGGTACAGCCCAGGGGCCTGGCCTTGGCCACCTGGGCACGCACTGGCTCACTGCGGTGAGGAATGGGCTATTCTGACATTCAGTGCGGTCTAGCAAAGGAAAAAGGGAAATTAATCAAAGGTAAAATAGGAAAAGGATGAGGAACAAGAATGAACAAGGTGAACTGATTCACCAGCAAGCCAGAAAGGTTTCTGAAAAGCCAAGTATAAAAATTGCTGCAGCCCGTGGCCAGGTTAGCCAAGAGCCACACACTAATCCACACAATAGCCTTGGCAGCATTACACTGATAATATTTTTGCAAGGTTAAATTAGTGCTGAACAATATTCCAGTATGCTGGGCACAAACATACTGATATTTTTATTAACTGTCAAGCATGTATATATTCCTTTTTTCCTTCAAGAAAAACATTTGCCACAGTTAGTTAAAAGAAATTTTCCACGTGTCTCCTATTTGGGTATGTGTGAGCACCAGCAGTGTGGGACCCTCCCTAGTGTCTGTGTGCCTGTGCCTGGTTTGTGAGACCTGGCCAGGGCAGATGGAGCAGGTACTGGAATGGCTGTAGGCTCCTTTTCAGTGCTGCTCTGCTGCCTGACAGAGGTTTGGATAACTCTTCCCCACTCTCTCCATCACCTTCACCACTGCACAGTTCACTAGGAGGATCCCCACACATACTTCAGTGGCAGTGAGAACCCACACTTGCGGTTCTCCTGTCTGAGGACTGCAGGTGAATTTACATATTTTGGCATTTAAAGATCATGCACTAGTCATGTGACACACACACGCATCTTGCACACAGTCCCTCAGCCTCAGTGACTGAGGGCAGAAATGCTCCCACAGATGATAGAAGACCAAAAATGAAGCTCCTCTGGAGTGTAAACTACAAAGCTTCAAGCTCTGACCACATGTATGTATCCTGTGAAAATGGCTTTATAATGTTCTGTTTGTTTGTTTCTATGATTTTAAATGGTCCAAAGGTGGTGCTTCCCACTGATGGTGGCTGAAATCTGTGTGTCATTTAGACAGGGGTAAAAGCTGTGCACTAAACCCCTAAACACTTATGGAGTGTACACAGCTACACATGTGCTCACACCCAGCAGTGAATGCATGGGTGTATAGAGACATATATTAGTAGGTGTATAAGTGCATTTAAATTTTGAAAATCCCTAATGTTAACATTAAAAATACAATATTTTTTTTTAAAGAAAGCTGTAGGAATATTAAAGGAAGTCAGTTTATTGGCATCTAGCATGCATGGGTTCAGGTATCTCAGCCTTTAATAACATTAGGTGATTAGTGTTGAAAGACTAAAGCTAGTCTGAGGACACCACGTGATCCAACAGGTAGGTATCTACCCAAGTGTCAGGAGTCCAGATTGAAACTGTTTGTGGGGAAGTCAGTAGGAAAAGTTCAGGGGACTTGTCTTCTAACTTCAGTCTTACCCCTCAGTTGATATTTATCTGCATTGTGGCCTTCTACAAGTTGTTTTTCCTTCTTTTAATTTCATCTTGTTTTCTCTCCCATCTATCACCTGCCTTATCTGCAGATACAGAGAACTATTGAGGGCTCTGCCTGCCTTTTTTTGTGTGCTGAGTGCTGAGACCTGAATTTTGATCAGGCCATGTGATACTGTCTTAGCAATAGTAGCATACTGGCACAGTAATGGACAAGTGATAAGCAGTTATCAGCAAGGTCTTTTCAAATTTGAACAGAAATTTAGGGGTTACTAAACACTGGGTATTTTAAGAGTGCATCCCCTTTCAGATGACTCTTGTACAAAATCCTGCATTAACATCTTAAATTTTAAAATAAACAGTAATATCAGAAATTCCTTTCCTTCACTGTAAACTGTACATCTTCTATTTTGTGAAACTACTGATGCTAGACAATAAGACAAATTCTTCTTGTTTTTAAAACTCCTCTAAATTACCCCAAATGGTCTCAAACTGCACTGAAATGCAATGGTAATTTGAATTTCAAGTCCTTTTGAATTTCAAGCTGTAAGACAGTGACTGCAAGACCTGGAAGACAAATTCGAGGTTACAGACTGCTGGAGAGAAGAAGGGCACAGGAAAGGGCAAATGAGTTATTTGAATGTCTAAGTAGGATTTTTGCATTTATAAAGGCCACTAACGATCCAGAGAACCACAAATAGTAACTGCAGTATTTAGCTTCAGGCTCTTCTTAAAGTCTCATGTGACAAAGAGCACAAAAATTTCCTCTCTCCTGACCATAACAGAATTATTCTTTTTTGTCTTTGCCATGTTCATTGTCTTCTGTATGGAAAATAATGGGCACTAAATCCAAAAACTAATGAAAAAAAATTTATATGACCAAAAACTGAGAACGAATGGAAACTGTTACACACATCAAAACACATTGAAAGTGCAAGTAGAAAGGAACAAATGTTATGAAATCTCATCAGTTGTTGTTAGCCTGATCCTGCCCCTTTCAAGTCAATGGCAAAACCCATCAAGTGTCAGTGGGAGCTGTGTTTTATTTCACTGAGGCATATTAAAATTTGGGATGTACATTTGTACTACCTTTAGCATTTGTCCTCTTCTTCGTGATGGGCACCTCTCTTTACTCATAGATCTTGTGCTGCACCTGGTTGTGGTGTTGGAATGGGAGCGGTTCCTCTAGTTAGAATAACTTGTGCACACCTGAAGGGTTCCATAGATAACTGAGGGCAATGACAGCATTCTGGAGAAATGGAAAGTGCTGCTTCACCAGGGTGCTCTGAGATGGTCTGTGGAGAGATGAACTACTGCCAGTCCCTTCTGGGCTCCATAAGCCCCTGTGTAGTTTTCATCTGTATGATTTTGCTGTCCTTATTTACACAGTTGTTCTCAGCTTTGCTCTCTGCTGTATTTTGAACCATTTGTGATTTAGGGGCAGATGTATGAGCAAGATCCGAGCAGCAAATCCAGTTTGGGATTGTAGTACGTTCTTGATGCTGAAGAAGTATGGATTTGAAAGTCATCATAAGGCAACCACCATGTTTTGGCAGTAGAGATGAATTACTGCTGCAGGAACAACACTTTTAGGGAAGGCACAAAGAAGACCTGGGTTTGGGCCATAGTTTAAAAGCCAGGAATCAATCCTGGCTTTAGGATAAATAAATCAGGTTGGTCTGTCTTTTCTTTCTCAGTTTGAACGTGAAACAGTTTGTAAACTGTTGCTATTTAGCTAAGACACCGGAATGCAGTGAAATTTAAAGACACGCCACATTTCTTCAATTCGATGTATAAATAGATTACAGCATTTTCAGCATTCCAGTCTTATGATCAAGTGGAATCCAGATCAGGTTTCATTTAACCTAGCTAAGAGAGCAATGTGAATGATTTCAGATAGCTCATGTAGAGTTCAGAAGCATATTCTCTCATATATTTCAAACCCACATTGAGTAAATACTGATATCAATAGTGGAGAAAATCCACATCTCTCGTGGACTTTGTGTGTCCGAAATATTTCTGTTTGGCATGGGTGTATTTTAATGGACATTTCAGTAGTTCATTGCTGGATTTTCTGGAATCTAAGTTGCTTGTTTACTTGAATAACTCTTCTTTGAACAGTAAGTAATACTTTACTTCATATATAAACCATTATTCAGACTTTTTACTAGCTGTATCAATTATCTCTCAGTGTTAAAAGAATGACTAATGGCAGGGCATTTGTTTTTAATATGTTGTCTAAGCAAAAAGGGAATGTACACAAATTTCAGAGAGCTTGTCAGATACTTTAAATAACCCATGGCACAACTTGATCTATAGTTATAGATTGGTTTGCAGGACTGAGTTCTAAAGTGTAGGGCCTTATGTAATACTTGTGGTATAAGTAAGAGGAAGCATGGAGTGGAAAGATGGTCTGTTTTTAAGATGAGAGAGCAGTTACAGAGCAGACATTAAAGCCATTGCAACTCCATAATAATAATATTTAGATGTCTATTTAAATAGACTTTCCAGGGAGTCCTGATTGTTTGGAATGGTGGTGTGTGTGCTCTCTAAGTAGCTGAGACAACATCCATTTGGTTCAAGTATGTGAGATCCTCAGGTTCAAAGGTGAACCTGTACCTGTGCCCCTCACGTTTCACTTTCCACAAGTGCAGTGCCCCTTCTTCCCCTTTTACTGGCAAAGCAGAGAGCAGGGCTGGGTAATTAAAGGTGTGGGGAACTGGTACCTATTCAGGTTCTGAGTAATTTTTGACAGATCTATTGCTACCACATCATGTGGGATGTGGGACAGCAATCAGCCAAAACTGGTTCCCTGGCCTTTTTTGCATGAATGTGCTACATAAAACTTACAGTCTGCGATAGCTGCAACTTTTTTACAAAAGCAAAATACAGGTTTTGTAGTAGATAGTAGATTGATGGGTTCTCTGTCTCCACATGGAACCTGTATGCAAAATATATACAAAAAAGTAATACTTCTGTGGTTAATTTCTGCTTTTCTCATCTGATTGTATAGCTG